TTTATTTTTATCTTACTTTTATAGTGAAGAAAAAATGTTGTAAGATTTACTAACTTTAAAATTATATGATACTTGATAACATTAACATGAAATTAAATTGTTTTTACTTGAATAATCAAATTTCATGAAATAAAATGTTAAGGAGGATTTAGGAGATTTAACACGAACGAAAAGTAAAATGATATCGGAGATGAATGCACCTGAAATGCAATGCACTTCATGGATCGACTTCACGATTATATGGCTCACCAACTGTGAAGAATATTTCTATGTAGGCTATGTAATTCAAATCGTTGCCATTGTTTTTCATTTATTCCTTATTAATCAAATCGTTCAAAATTTAAAATATCTATTCGCATAGCTACTACTCTATATATATATATATATAGTTAAAAAATAAAGAAAAATTTTGAGTTTCTATAAAATATTTTATTGTATGAATGAATGGTTGAAAATCAGTATATATAAAAAAGTTTGAAAAGAATTATTGACAAACAGAGGATTAGTTCAACTTAAAGGAACCATTTAGAGCATCTCTAAAAAACACTTTAATACATGCAACACCCTCTATTTTAAAGAGTTAACTCATGAAATTATGCTTCAAAAGACTTTTTAAATTAACATTTTCATTTAGAATGTGTGTTTGACTCTCCAAATTCACTCTTTATAATTAAAAATTCAAAGTATTTCAAATTTCAATGTAGGAAAATATTAAAATAATCTAGAGAAAAGGTAGTTAAAATAAAAGATAGAGAAAATAATAAATATTTTTTGAGAGTAGTAAAATTAAATTTATGTTTGAGCCACATTATTTCCATCAAAATACATTTTTCACCAGTGATTTGACCAATTTCAATAACACATTTTTCATTAAAATAATATTACATATAAATTCAAAAAATTTCTTTATTTTTTAACCAAATATATATATATATATATATATTTTTTATATATATATATATATATTTTTTTGCCAATGATGAAGTTCAAACGAGGGCTAAGTGTTAAATACAAAGAGTTTGTTGGAATATTTCAAAATTTCGACTCTTTAAATTTATAGATCTTTTTTAAAAGAATAGAATATATTCTTTAAAAATAGTGAGATTCTTTAAGATGTTCTTGGCAGTGTTTTTACGTCAAGCCATCAATGCTCGAGCTTTTGGTCAAATGGAGCCCACTGTTTGAATGAATAAATTGCTAAAAAAATGATTTCTTTTACATCCATTAGTAGGACAAAACGAACTTTGTCAATGATGTCACTATTGTTGACTTCTTTTATCTGTGTTTGTTGACAAAGTTAGCCACTTTTTACATTGAGATGAGATTAGATGAAATAAACATCACGATTCACGGGTACCACCTAAGCGGACCAAAAAATGGTATTCTGCAACAAAAGCATTGCAAGACGCACTTGATGTTGATCTCCAACAAAAATGCTTAACAAACAAGGATTAAAAATAGGATGATTTGACAGCGTGTGATTGAATGTTTTTATTTATCATTTTCCCCAATTTCTAGTGAAAACATATCCAGTGTTATTTGGGGAAAAAATCTATCACTAACTCTAACTGTGTAGTATGATTGCATCTCGAAAGGCCAACTATAAAGATTTGGTATTTCCTGCAAAAATGTCAACTTGTTTACGAGTAATAGTTGAAGTGTTTATATATTAGCTAGTGTTTTACCTAACCGATGCAAATCCTCCTAATAAAATGAAAAAATAAAATTAAAAAATTAGATGGGGTAAAACTTCTTGAACTAAGAAAAAAACACGATTTTATTTGAGCTTTATGAGTAGTATTGAGTCTTAGTTTTTTCTTTTTTAATAATTAAGACAGAGTTATATTTTAAAATTTTATACCTTTTAAAAGGAGTAATCTCTTATATAGTGGTTAATATTTCATAATTAACACAGGTAAGATTTACCCTTAAAGATGCATTCTGATTCTCTCCCTCTCTCAAGACAATTTATGTAATGATTTCCTTGGAAAGTTTTTTAAGAATCAAAAGAGAGGATTTAATAAATATTTATAATATTAAATAAGAAAAGTTCAGACTGAACTTCAAGCTTCCTAATAATATGTGAAGAAAATGGTATCACCAAGGTTTAGTAACAAAATGAGCAATTTTTATTTTTTTTTAAACATTTTCATGGCATGATGGTAGGTTGAACTAAGTTAAAGGTCGATAACCAAGTAAAATTTTGTTGAACGCTAAGTGACCGCATATGAAATTTATCCTTCTATAATAATTCAAAAGTATCAATATAAGTCCTTGTTTGAGACTCATTCTCTACAAATTCATTTTTCTTCTCAAATTCATATTTATAACTACATATTCTTTGAATAAAATAAGCCCCCGTTTGGCCCCCATTAATTTCTATTACATTTTTCTCTCTCTTATTTTCAACTGCACAATCTTTCATAAAATAATATTATACATAAATCGAAAACTTTTCATTTTATTTCAACCACTCATTTTTAAAAAAATTACTATTCCAACCATTTTCAACTCTACACAATGAGGACCAAACGGGGGCTAATTTTGCAAGTGAAATCATTTTTTTTTTTTTTCAATTATGCATTCTTTAAAAATCGCTATTACAAAAATCAACGCAAACAAATGGCCAAAATGGATAAAATGACTACATAAAGTCAAACTTTGCACCGTTAGTCTAAAATCCATCTTTTTAAGGCGGCAGATACTTTTGCTCCCTACTAGTCCTAGTTTTTCAAGCTTGTCTAATGCAGTTTCTATTTTTTATAACTGAAAACCAGGAAGTAAATCCAATTCGTGATGGACGCCATTGAAGAAGTGGAAATACCAACAAGAGGTTTGTTTATTTGTCATTTTCCTTCACTTGATTTGATTTTCAGTAGAAAGTCTTTATTTGGTTGTTTCCTTAATGGTCATCCATTACTTCCCAAAGCAAAAGATTTCATCGTTGCAGCTATATTCCTCGATTTGAAATATTTGTTGCTGTTTCTTGTTTCTTTATCAGTGAAAGAATCAAATTCTGATGATCCAAGCCAAAGACAGCAACTTCCTGCAAAAAAACACTTGGGATGGTGGCTTCGCATATTTCTTTACACTGTCTTTCTCCTTGCTGGTCAATCTACAGCCACCCTCTTGGGAAGATTATATTATGATAAGGGTGGGAATAGCAAATGGATGGCAACATTAGTTCAATCAGCAGGCTTCCCTATCTTAATGCCCCTCTTACTATTCTTTCCACGATCCTCGGCCTCAGCCGAAGCCAGCGAGTCCGCCGCCGCCACCACCATCACCTCCCTTTTGTTGTTGTACTTATTCTTTGGGCTACTCTTGGCAGGTGACAACATGATGTATTCATATGGACTTTTGTATCTTCCTGTCTCTACATATTCCCTCGTATGTGCAACTCAACTAGCTTTCAATGCCCTCTTCTCCTTTCTACTGAATTCCCAAAAGTTTACTGCTTTGACATTCAACTCTCTTGTGCTAGTCACAATCTCTGCGACCCTTTTAGCAGTTCATCCAGACTCTGCAGATAGTACAACCCAAGCCTCCAAATCCAAGTACATAATTGGTTTCCTATGCACACTCGGCGCATCAGCCACATATTCTCTCTACCTCTCCCTATTAGAGCTATCTTTCAAGAAAATAATCAAGAGGGAAACATTTGATGCTGTTCTTGATATGCAAATCTACCCATCACTTGTTGCAACTTGTGCCTCTATTGTGGGACTTTTTGCTAGTGGAGAATGGATAAATTTGAGAGCAGAAATGAAAGGGTTCCAAAAAGGTAAGGTTTCCTATGTTATGACGTTGGTTTGGACTGCAATAACATGGCAAATATCTTCTGTGGGTTTGTTGGGTTTGATTTTCGAGGTATCGTCTTTATTTTCTAATGTTATTAGTACTGTGTCACTGCCCATTATTCCAATACTTGCTGTTATATTTTTCCATGACAAAATGGACGGGGTGAAAGTCATGGCCCTGCTGCTAGCTATTTGGGGCTTTCTTTCTTATGTGTATCAGCACTATCTTGATGAATTTAAACGTCAGTCATCCAAACCAGTTGCTAATGAAATGCAATGTTGAGAGTCCACTGATTCTCGGAACAAATTTAAAGTTCATTCGATATAGAACTGTTATATTCTAAATTTTTTGCTTCTTGTAATAGTTGAATGGAATTATATAGTTGGCCTCTCCGCTACTTTACAGATCTTTCAGACATTATGTGTAAGGACCTTCCCATTGTTTTTATATTTCCCCTTGCACCATAGTGTTGTCTCTGGTTTTCGTCTTGTGCTTTAGTCTTTTCTTCTCATTGCTATTCAAAATTTTAATAAGACACTGCTGAAAACTCACATGTTTAAATGTTCTTGAAAAATTTTGTCCCAGTCAAACTCGTGCTCAAATGAGAAATTCAAACCCAGGTTGTATCGATATGGTGCACAAATTTTAGTCCCTTTAAAGCAACTTCATCTTCTCTCCATCGCTATGTATCATTCCCTTCATTTAAATGTTAAATTTTTGCATAAATCATGGAATTTCATCTGCTCAATCTCAAAATCAATAGAACCCCTGCTTCATAGTATTTCATAACTTCGAGTTCACAAATAAGATCAAGCGACTAAGGCAATTATCAAGTTGGTATTCTCTATAACTCACCAATATTCTTCTTGAACTGGAAAAAACATTCATACTGCACTGAAGATAGCAAAGATTTCACACACACTCCAGAAATTTGAGTGGAAAGAATTAAGAATAGGAAAAACGAGAAGCAAACCAAATACGTCATCAATATGTCACCTCACAAAAATTTCCATAACCAACCACCTAAGTAACAAGATGGAAATTCAGTGCGTGATTGCCTCACATTACAAGACCATCACTAACGACGAGAACCACGAAGACCATGTTACAGGACAGAACCCTCCAATATCAAAATGTCCAAAGAATTGTGGGGGTTTCATCAATCCCATTCCACTAGTTCAAGATTCCACTGCCATTGATTATAAAAATGCATTTGCAATCCATAAAGAATTGACAAATTATCTGTATGATGCCTGAAATTGGCTGGTATTGTTAATGCAAGCACTATCCATATTAAAAATTGAAGTTTCTTGACAGTCTTTATCTAGGTGACAGAAAGCCATATGCATTGTTCATGTTTCATATCAACAACTGGTAATCAAGCCTAATATGGCAAGATGCACATGCTCCCAAACACATCTTTGTAGCCCATCACCTCAGTGACAAGAATTAGAAGTCATTCATTTGTTCCCTCACATACCAACACTAGAAATAAAAGCCAAGATCTTTTGGGTGATAATTTCATCAGATTGAACCCACCCTCCCAGATCAAAATGTAGAAAGAAATCAGGATGTTTTGTCCAAATTATTCCACAAACTCGAGATTTCCAACAACCCTAATTATTAAGATTTGGATTCTATCTTAAAAGGCCAATGTTGTTAGGAGTAATAGCTCAAGCCCTTTAATCTTGGGCTATATTTCGGTAATTAGTCAATGTGGAATTTGTCTCTTAACATGTTTCCGCAAGATGATGGCCCATTTAAGTATACCAATCTTGAAACTCGCACGTTCACTTTTTTAGTCTTAATCGGATTGAATTACTAAATGAAGCATAATAGATTCTAATACTATATTAAAATTTAAAGTTATCTTAAAATGTCAACTTTGTTAAGAGAAGTAGGTCAAGCCTTTAAAGGTTGGTCTATATTTCATGGTGGGACTTATCCCTTAAATGGAAATATGCAAATCCAATCAATAAAGAAAGAATATGACTAAAATGTACGTGTGGAGTGAATGACACCAGAAGTTGGGTAGTGTCAATTGAATAGATAATCAATCATGAACCGAGTTAATGGAGTCACTAGTATGTGCATCTTGAAGTCCTGTCCTGTCCTGTCTAGATTATAGATTGTTTATGTTTCATATCAAGGATTTGTAAAAAGGCCTAATATGATCTTTATGGTCATCTCGGCCCAAGGAAAATCATCAAACAGTTTATGTGCCTTAATCCCCAAATCACTTGAGTGTGCTAATCACAACTAGCCTGCACCATAAAGTCCCATGTATGTTCTATTCTCAATTTCAATGATCTAAGCCTAAGAAATCCCTATCCACCAAAATCTATATATATAATCAATCTATAAAGAAAACCCTACTACAAAGAATGATACTACGCATTTCCAACAAAGATAAACATAACAAGATTCAAACCTATTAACACATAAAAGCAAATATTAATCCAAACAACAAAGCCAATTCACTTTGTTTCAGAGTTATGTATGCTTAATAAATGTCACCGAATTGTTTCAATCTTTTCATGAATTTTTATTACTTGATATTGACGTCGGCTTCTTTGGGAGTCTTGGCAGTGATAGACAGGGCATGTAATCCAGACTGGAGTTCATCCGACAAGAGATCATACACCATACGGTGTCGTTTAACGAGTGTCTGGCCGTCAAATTTGCTTGAAACAATGTTAACGTTGAAATGGGTCTCGGTTGCGCCGCTGTCTTTGACAGCAGCGTGGCCGGCATGCTGGTACGACACATCCTCCACCTCCAACAAGGCGGCTTCCAGCGCCGCTAGCTTCGTCTTGATCCTGCTTGCCCGTGACAGCAAAGCCCGCGATGCCATTTGCACTCACTGCGTGGGATTTCAGATTTCTTCGTATCAATGGCGTAAATTCCCTAGCCCTTTTTGCTTCACAGCAATTGTATATTTCAATAAAAAAATTCGATTTTGATGGAACCTTTCATCACTGTTCCCAGACTATGCTACTTCGAACACTTGGGTCCCCAATATAATATTAATTGCATTCAGATCCTCATACATTTACTTTTGGTGTAGTTAGACTAATTGTTTGGAAAATGTCGAAAATCTCGTTAAAATAGAACATATTCTGCACGTGACCACTAATGTAGAAAGGTTAATTTTGTCAAATCATTATATTTATTAACAAGTAGATGAAAAAAGGAAATGAAAAATAAAAGAAAAAAGATTATTACCCTTGGCATGGACGTATTATTATTATTATTATTATTATTTATTTTACATATTTTCAAATAAAATCATTTAAAATGGTGTATAAAATTCAAAATCTGAACCAAACAGTTTAAAACAGATTGAGAAAAACTTAAACCTGTACAAAACAATTTTGTTTGATAACTACAATTTCTTCATTTTTTTTCCTTCCAATTCACTACAATGGAACTTATTTATTGAGAGGAAATACAAAAAGATGGTCAGGCATAAGGGTAATGCCATGGTCCACTCGATTCAATCCTCGTAGCTTTCGCCTTACACGTCCCTAACAGATAAAATCAATCAAATCCTATTTTGTAAATTCATTTTCATTATCGTTGTCGCAAACTATCGACAAAATTCTGCACGTAATGCGAGATCACGATGAGAAACAATTGTCTCAGGAATAACCATGTCATCCTTACGAGTGGTCTCCATTGTGTCTCAAAAATCATTGACATAGTGATCTCTTCCACCCGAATCTTTATATTCGCATGCGGCGGCATTCCTCCTCACTAAAAGTCACGCAAAGATGAATCATATGCATATTGTTCAATTCAAGTAGATAATTTACTTCAACATTAGAAGAAACCTTCATAAGTGGAATCGGAATGAATGAATACTTGTTGATTTAAATATCAATTCCATATTGTACTGAGAGAGATCGACATTCAGTTTGTTTTGTAAATTATGGTACGTTCCCACATATGTTGTACTTGATGTTATGAAAATTGGAATACCACCACGTATATCACTCTTCCATTTTCATATCCATCGTTCTTTTTTATCCAATTCGAAATCATCAAAAGTAACAAATCAGAATTACAACTATATCTGCATGATGAAACAAAATTTTTAATTATAATAGAAAAATAGTCTAAAAATCGGTTCAACCACTGAGAAAAAGAAATTTATTCAAAAAAATTATGGCGGGTTGTGTTAACAGTCGGCCCAGCCAGCTATTAACGATCTGTAAATTTACCCTGCAAAATGATAAAAGGCCCCCTTACTAGAAAGGCCTGAAGAACAAAAATCTGAAAGACAAATATTGGAGTCGGTTGCCTAAGGCTATTAACAGCTAGCTGTTAAGGTTGCCCGAAAATTAACGTTGCCATGAATCTAATCTAAAAGAATATATGTGCGGATGAATTTTTCTTCTTCTTTATGTTTAAAAAATTTATCTACATGTTAATTTATATCGAAACAAGATTTATCAATTTAAAACATATACAAATTTAACGAAAAAAAAATTAAACGTACGTAAATATATTTCTAGATTTGAAATGATTGATATAAGAAAAATATTTTTTTGTTTAGCGTTCTATAAATTTATGAGATTTTGATATAGAAGTAGATGAAAGATGACAAAGTTTTTATTTGTGTTAGAATAAACAGATAATAAAAGTTAGTTAGTTTTGAAATTTTAAGTGTGAAGCGTTAGATTTTCATTTGTAAACTAGATGAGGAGTAATATTATTTTTTAAACAATAATAAAAATTAAAATTTGGATTTTAAACTAAATGAAAGTTAACAATTAGTTATAACCACATATTTTATACGACCTACCACTTTTCAATCATACATTTCATTAACTTTTATCAAATTTTACTAAAAGTTTGATTTAATCCCCCACTAAACATAGGCAAAATTTCATGATGTGTCACATGTTTAAAAGCTGGAGAAGCTTTTGGTCAATTTGTAGTCTTTCAATTTTGTCGAGGACTTCGATGTAACTATAAAGAAATATATTTATTGGTGGGAAAATGATGATTTAAGATTGAAAAGTAACAAGTAAAAACCAAAGATTCTAACGTACCAAATTCGGAGGAACACTAACCTTCGATCCAATTCGTTTGGGGAAAAAGGTTAAAATATTAAATTTGCCCCTCACGTTAAAAAAGAGAGAGAAAGAGGGAAATCAAGAATCTATCGACTCAAGTTTGATTTTCAGGTTAAAACTTCATTTTCATCTTCGTCACTAATATTCAAGGTTATATTCTACTTTAATGGTTTATTTCTTTTTTTATTTTGTTTGGGTAGTTTATATATCTTTAATTTTTTACTTGTAATGTTATGGATCATGTTATTTATACTTTTAATATGTGTATTGAGATTTACATGTGTTAAAAATGGAAGAATATGTGAAAATGGAGAGAAAATGGCTAAAAATGGAGGTCGGGGATGGGGCTATCGTGCCTAGGTTCCGCCTCACCAACCTCGGGTTGGAGAGGATGAAGCAACATGAGAATGAATTCTTATCGACCTTGCTTTGTTTCTGTGTTTTTTTTTTTAAAATGAAATGTAGTATATAATTGTGCGGTGAAATAATTTTTTTCTTGCTTATTGGTAGTATATTGATTATTTGGGTTTCTATGTATTATGCATTGTTCCATAATATCCATTTTCAGTTATTAACATTTATAAGCTATTGCAGGATGTAGTATGCTCTTGAAATTGAATTGAGAGAACACTCGAGGAAAGTTGCATCCATTGTAATTATTTGAGTTTTAAGAAGGTGTTGGGTGGACTTGACGAGAATCACAAAGTTTTAACGGGCCGATCATGCCTTGAAAGCTATACTCAATAAGATGCATGCAATTCTCTAGACAAATCATTGACGGCTTGTTACTTCGTTTGATTAAGCTAGCCAAAGGTGATGTGTTGTAATTTGAGTTCACGAATGGGAAGATAGCCCAATTCTCAATATTTGAGTTTGTCCTCGTAGGGGTTAAACTCAAGAAGTGATGTGAAGCCCAATATTCAATGGAATAAAAGAATGTTAATGTTTATTTTCTTATTACGATTTTACTGCTTTCAGTAATATATAATTATAGTTTCTAATTCTCAACACATATTAGAAAATATATATAAATAACTGTGACTTTAGGTGGAGGGCTAAGTTAACTAAAGCAATTAGAATTCCCAATAACTAGAAGATGCAAGGCACTCTATATGAGTAATCTAAAGTTAACATATGGTGATCAAGGAGGGGCAAGAGCTTTTTGGTATATAGGTGACATGACGGAATGAAAAAGAAAAATGGCGGATGATGTGTAAATTTATTTAGGGAATGGCCTCTCATCTTTTCAAGTAATCATTGTATCCCATATTCTTCATCTTATGTCATGGCGGCAATGGGCCGAGCAAGTCCACGAGTTCAGTTTGCGACGAGCCGAGTTTAAACTTGTTCAAGTATGAGCTGAGCTCGTGAGTTCACAAGCCAAGCCCAAGAGCTCAAGATTTTAAATTTTTAAAAAAAAATTTGGACTTTTTTGTTCACATATTTTATGTGGGCTCATGAACTTTAGGCTCGTGGACCATGCCCACGAGCCATTCGCGAGCTCGACAAGTCGAGCCTTGCTCGGCTCAACGAGTGAACCCCCGCTCGACTTAGGTTAGGCTCGTCTCGAAACGAGCCCAAACCATCCATGGGCCTAGCTTTGACGAGCTGAGATGACAAGCGGATGAACTACTCGACCCTTTTGCCCCCCTAATCTTATGTCATCCTTATTGGTCTGCCTTGCTCATATATACGACAAGGGACAAATGAAGTAGTTCATTATTGGCAAAATATGCATGTATTAGTTTCTAAAAATTGTGTTGGAATAGATAGGCTCACATTATTTCTCGCAAACATTTTGGCTTTTGATATTTTTTATTAATTCCATGTTTGGCTCATGTATATAAATTATTTATAAATATTTAAGTATTTTTTCACATATTTCAAGGTCCACAAATACTACTCGTTACTATTTCTATCTATTTATAATTTAAACATTTTATTCCAAACATGCTCTGAATAAAGTTCATATTTTGTCTTCAAAAAAATATTATTCTTCATTTCAACTACCAAATTATTGTAAATTTATGAGATAATTATTGTTGAGTGTTTATTCTTATCAGGATGCTTAGATAAGTATTATTTAGTCTAGAAGAATGTAGTATATTTAGATTGTAAATCCCATTGGAATGCTATAAATATGGTTTATTGATATAATAATATACACATGAGTTTTGATTCTCTCTTCTTTTCTCTCAATATTCTATTATATCGATCTTACTTATCTCTTAATTTTATAGCACGTTATCATCATGAAAGAGATGAACCACAATAGAGAGAAATTTTGAGATCAACAATGTAGAAAATTTGTAGAATCTGGACAGCCTAAGCACATATGGTCAACGTTAATATCGCATCATTTCATAGTTCGATCATCATGAAATTTGTATTAGACGTTCATATCTCATCGTTCTTCAAATATATTGATTAAGATAAAAATCAACCAGTTCATTTATGATAAATAATTGCGTGACCAGTAACAAATTTTTAAAGCACTATAAATTTTTTTCAAATTTAATCATAGAAAAATATGAAATTTATCAATTATTTAAGGTTCTCTAAAACTTTCGTTTCCCAACAATAGTTTATAATATTTCTATCACGTTCGAAATATTTTTTTAGATTTGTCAAATTTAAGTCTATCCTTTAAAAAAAAAAAAAAATTATTATGTTATATATCATATTTATGAAGTCTTAGATTGATTAAATATTTTAATTTAACTAATACTCCGAAGAAGTATATGTTTATATTATGGTATAGTACGGTATTATAGCTCCTGAAGAGCACAATTTTATAATCTTTAATATTATCGAAAAATATATAATATGCATAATTATTTTAATAGAGCACAAATATTTAATGATATATATACTGCTAAAGAATCATAACTATAAATTGTAATTATTATAAACAAATATGGCGTTGATGTTTTTGAAAAAACACAATCCACATCATATAGATATTTTAGA